GGCAGCGCCAGCAGGTGGGATCCAGCATCGCCTCCTCTGCCTGTGCGAGGGGAAGGGCTCAGCATGGTGGATGCAGCACGGAGCAGGCAGTGGCAGGGCCCATGGGGACACGCCGTCCCCCCCTGCTGCCCCGAGGCAGGGCCAGGGCTGCAGCTGGCACGCTCTGGGCCTCGTGGGGATGGGGGCAGAGGTCGCACCAATGGCTCAGGCCACCGAATAAAGCTCCTGCTGCTTCCACCTGGCGTGGATGGAGGATGCAGTGACTGGATAGGTACCCAGCCCAGCCCCCTCCTGAGCCCACGTTGGCGTGGCAGGGCAGAGGTGCAGGGGCATTCCTATGCCCAGCAGACCCCATCCACAGGCAGGCCTGGTCCTGCTGGGAATGCCCCGGCATCACACTACCCAGGGCTAGGGAAGTGCCCGCAGGCAACCTCTACCCACAGAGGGTGGGGGCAGCTGGGGCGGGCTAGGGGAACCAGGGGCTGCAGGGTCCGTCGGGAGATGGACCCAGCACAGGGGCAACTCGGCAGTGACTTCAGACCCCCTGAGGACGCCCCCACCCAGAGCAGCACCCGGCCGGCACAGACGGGCACCACGGTGATGGCTCAGAGTCCAGTTTTAATGGTAGCCGGCAAGTGACGGCAGGATGGGAGAGGGCCGGGCGGCTGGGCCGGGATCACGCCCCCCACAGCCAGGTCCTTGTGAGCGCAGCCCCTGCGCCGTGGCTTGGTTCGTGGAGCTCCCCGGGGCAGCACAGGTCTGTTTGGACAGGGCTGCCCGCAGACCCCAGCTCGGTCCAGAGGCCCCAGCAGCAGCAGCAGCAGCCGCCGCAGGGCGGGGGCCAGGCCGGCCAGGCTCTGCAGGGCAGGGGCCGGGCCACGTCTCCGAGCCCTGCGGGGGCTGGCTAATGGATGCAGGGCTCCAGCCACCTCCTGGGGAGCAGCAGGAGCAAGGAGAGCGCAGCGGGCCCCTGTGAGCAGACAGGACTCCAGCTCTCCCCTCGGTCCATCCTGGCTTGGGGGACGAAGGACCCCTCCTCCTCCTCCTCCTCCTGCCGGGCCTACAGGAAGCCGGGGAAGGCGAGCTGCAGCAGCAGGATTGTGGCCACGATGAGCCCAGCACACAGGAGCAGCAGCAGCCAGACGGGGAAGCTGCCTGCGGGAAATGGAAAGACTGGGCTGGGAGGGACAGGTCCAGACCCCTCTCTGCTCCTCCCGGCCGCCATGCCTGGGTCCAGACACAAACAAGCCGGGGGAACGTGCAGAAGGTCTTGGTGGTGGAGGAGGAGAACAGGACCCAAGGGGGCATCTCCAGCACTGGGGGCAAAGCCCAGCCCAGCCCACCCCGCGCCAGCACTCACGGCGGTGGGGGAGCAAGTGCAGCTTGCAGCGACTGTCCACGGCCACGCTGAGCAGGGCAGCCTCATCCCCGGCCAGCAGCTCGCGGCCCCGGCCGCTCTCGGGCATGAAGGCCACATCCGTCACCACGATGCCATGCGCCTCCTTCACATAGTACAGCCTCTGCGAAGAGGGGGGGGTCAGCAGAGCAGCGCCAGGGCACACCCCATAAACCACTTCCCCACCAGGATCTCCTAACCCCTAGTGCCTGCAAGGGGGGCCCCACTGCACCCACTTAACCCCCGCCCCAGGGTGCCCCCAGCCCAAAGGCAAGTTACCTGCAGCGAGAAGGAGACGTAGATGGCCACAGACCCCGTCACGGTGCCCAGCCCCAGGAACGTACCCGAATCGCTGGAAGGACGGACAGCCATGAGCACCCAGCCAGCCACACAGACAGACAGCGCAGCCAAGAGCACCAAGGCAGCCCTGCGCGACCCCCAGCCCCGGCCCCGTACCTGACGGACAGGCAGGAGACGACCTCGGCGCCGCAGGGCTGCGTGAGCAGCGGCAGGAAGCTCTTGCCGTCCCACTTGGTGAGGTAGCAGGGCGGGGGCCGGCGCTCCCGCTTGTGGGGCACCTGCACGGTGTAGAGCCGCAGCGCTTCCGCGTCATCCTCCACCTTCCCAAACCTGCGCCATGGAGCGGGTCAGGGCCCTGCAACCTCCCCAGGTCCTGCCCTCAGTCACCTCCATCTGCCTGGCCAACCTGCAGCACTGAGCAGCCCCAGCTCGGGCGGCCGGCGCGGCACAGCGCAGCACTCACCTGCAGGCCTGGTAGCGATAGGCCTTGTCGGGGATAGCCGGCAAGTTCTCGTTCCAGCGCAGCCCCGTCACCAGCTGATCCCTCTGCCACACGCAGCACTGGAAGTCCCAGCCTGCAGTCACCATCTGTGGGGGCCCGGGCAGCCGTGAGCGCCAGCACTGGGGCACCTTGCAACGAGCCAGTCCTGCCCCTCTGCCTGCCCAGGGGAAGAGGGGTGGGGGGGGTCTCTATCCTTCCCCCTCACCATGAAGCTGCCTCCTGGGCACCTACTGCAGGGCCCGCTCACCCCTGTGCCGTGCAGGTGACGGACCCCGGCCCCAGACGAAGCCACACGATCGGGCAGCCCCGCTCTCCGGGGACGGGCACCGGGCTCCGCGAGCTCTCACGTCTGGCCCCGAGCCGTAGGGGCCAGGACCGGGCTCACCTTGTTCCCAGGGCCCAGCGCGATGTCCTCGATCTCCCCGTCGTGAGCTTTGAACTCCAGCATCTTCTTCATGCTGGGGAACTGCGGGGAGAGCGGGCGTCAGGCCCCGGCCCCTGCGCCCTCCTGGCCCGCGGCTGCCCGTGGCCCAGTCCCTACCTCCCAGAGCCGAAGGAAGCCGTCGGCGCCGCCGGTGGCAAGCAGCGTGTGGTCAGCGCTGACGCGCACGGCCTTCTGCAGGGTGTCGGGGCTGAAGTCGGTCTGGACGCTGCGCAGGGTCTCCACGGTCACCTCGCTCGTCTCGCTCCGGGTGTCGCCCTCGCCCTGCCCCGCGGGGCTGGAGGCTTTCCGCTTCCGGGGGCCCTTGTCGCCGCCGCCTGGGGGCAGGCGCAGAGCCGTGACGCCTGCCCGCGCCGGCAGGGACCCTTCCACCCCCCTGCCAGGAGCTCCCTCCCGCCCCGTGCCATGACCCCGAGGGCAGAGCCGCCCGGTGCTC